CCCCCCCCCCCCCACCGCCCCGTAAAGAATTTCTGGCCCCAAATGTCAGTGGAACTGAGGTTGAGAAACTCTGTCCAAAAGGTACTATAGTCTTGTGTTGTTAGAATACCTTCTACTGACTACATAATGAGTTGACTTAATGAACTGAAGGTTCACAGGCAGCTTCTACAAATGGGAAAGACTGTTTTTGCAATAGGCCTGGCTCAGTGGTGGCCTGCAGGGTAGACTCTGATAAATCCTGTTTGTTACCTGATGAAGAATGTACTGTTGGGTCTTTTGGTGGCTCTTTCTCTTAGTTTCTTCCTGTAATTCATTTCATTGTTAGTATCTTGACTGAAGAGAAAGAGGGTGAGTAAAGGAATTAAAATTGGGTTTTTCTTTTAGTAATGTAATTTACAGTAGAAATGTAATCCCCACTTCAGAGTACTTTGTAGTAATACCTACTGCCTTCATTTCTAACCCCCTCTTGAGGGTTTGGGATCTTATGTGGGTGCTGTCTAAGGAACATTCCCCCTACATGCTACCACCAGAGTTCTTTGTAGAACAGTTTTGTGCTTTGACTGAAAGTAAACCTAAAACCAAATGCAGGCCTTGTGATACCATTTCTGGCACTAATTTCTTCTCAGATTTTCATTTTCTTTCTCTTTTTCTATTTCTGTTCTTATTACTATTCCTTTGATCTGATAACCTCCTGTGTATTTCAAATTCTTTGTGGACCACACTGCATATAAATAAACACAGCCCCGGGGGTGACGTAGCACTCTTTGTGGGTTAAGGTAGAAACTCTTTAATGTAACACTTAGAACCTTGCATCTGGTCCCAGCCACCTTTCCAGTCTTATTTTCCCTCCCTGTTCCCATACACCTTGAGCCAAATTCTTACCAGAATACTATTTTCTGAAAATCTGTATTTCTCCTTTAATCTGTTGTCCTCTATGATCCAGACACATCACCTGCTCCTCTCCCCTCTATCCAGAATGCTGGAGAGGTAATACTTGTACGTTTATAATTAACCTTTAATTTAACCTTTAATTAAAGTTTCATTCTCATAAGCAATCTCATGTACAATTCTGTATGTGTTTCATCACTGGCTGTGAAGCCCTTTGTGCTTTCGTAGTTGGCATAGGATTAGAAAAACCCACACTTGATACATTGGATGTGTGAGGATTCACAAATGGAATGGCTTCTTATCCTACAAAATGATAGTTTATAATAGGATCAGTTTATAATAGACACTGGAAATCACATATGCAAGTTAGGTTATTTTTAAAACTTAGGATCGTTCATGAAAAATGATATTGCCTGTTGTGGCCATCACTGCTTTTACCACTACCAAACCTCATCTTGCTTTATGCCTGAGATTCTTAAAAGTGTAGTGGAAACCAAGTAGGAGATTATTCCTGGTGAACTGACTTACATTTCTGACTTACTTGACTTTACTTAGTGGTAACTTATCAAATGAATTAGGAGTTACTCAACTAGATACTCTTTTTTTTTTTTTTTTAATTTTTTTTTTTTAACTTTTATTTATTTTTGAGACAGAGAGAGACAGAGCATGAATGGGGGAGGGGCAGAGAGAGGGAGACACAGAATCAGAAGCAGGCTCCAGGCTCTGAGCTGTCAGCCCAGAGCCCGACACGGGGCTCGAACTCACGGACCGCGAGATCGTGACCTGAGCCGAAGTCGGACGCTCAACCGACTGAGCCACCCAGGCGCCCCTCAACTAGATATTCTTAAACTACATGTTATTGCTAAAGTTTCCTGGGGATTCTAGTTGAATAATCTAAGATTTCTGGCCACCATGCAGTGTTTAGCATTGGTGCCAAGTTCTTGAAATTTCTACAATTTGGGGAAAAGATACTTTATTTGTGCACCATCTTAGGTTGATTGAAATGGAGCTTTTAATTGTTCTTGTTTTTTTAATTATCTCTTACTGTTTAAGATTATGATCAATTTATTGAAGATTATTTTTGCACATTTTCAAGGAACTAGGCTTCAGGATTTGTATTCCTGTGGCTTAAATATGAATTGTTGATCAGCTATTGCTGAGCGTCAGATACCTCCTCCCTTTGTTCTGCTGGCATCCCCTAACCTCTCTTTGCCAAAAGAGAGGAATTGTTTTTACATTGTTCCTTTTCCACTGGATAGTGAAGAGAGTGAGATAGGTATGCCCCAGGGTCTCAGCCCCTCCAAGTAGGCAGTGGTCAAGAGTTTAAGCTGTTGGCTGTATCCTTGGGTCAGGAATCAAAGAGACCCTTAGTAGTCTGTCTCTACTCTGTAGGTTTGCTGCTACAAAAGTACTTAGGATGCGTATAAACTGGTAGCCTATTTTTAGTATCTGGTGTCTGTTTTTAACTTGTGGAGTACATTCTAGTGTTTCTTAACATTCTTACACTTTTCTTATCTTTGGCAGCTCTCCAGTTAGGTTTCATAAACTTTATTTAAGTCCTGCCTCTCTCCTCCCAGAGTGATTGAACTCTGTATGCTCGCCTTCCCCATCTGCTCCCTGCTTTAGGGTGAGCAGCCTGTTGCGTAAAAGTGGAGAACAGCTTGCAGCTGACAGGACTGGGGGACGGTGGATTCTGCTTATTAAATAGGATGGGAGGCTGTCAGTAGTTTGGCCAAAGATGGAGCACAGCTTGTGAGTTCCAGGTAATATCTGTACCCAGCTGCCTGTATGTCTGCACTGTTGGAGCTGGGAAGAAAGGTCCGACAGGCTGTCTCTGATGAAAGAGCGAGCCGTATGGTGTTTTAGAGTAGGGATTACGGTGGTGAATTTCCTAGGTTTGAATCTGTTGTCAGCAATATGCATTTCAACAACCCTTAAGTCTGAAGTTACTTGTCTGTAGAATGAAAATAAAGACACTTAACTGACAGAGTTGTTGTGAGGATCAAGTAGGGTAAGATGTTTAAAAACACATAGGAAATTGAAACATAAATGTTAGCATCATAATGATTAATTCTTCTATAAACTCTTCTATAATCTTTAGTCTGACTCCCTAGCTCTAAAGATTCTGGCTCTTTCCAGAAAAGTCTGTGCTTCATCCTGGGAAATTCTTAAATTCTAACTCTTTGTCTTGTATACCCTGGCTTCCCTTGGCTTCTGTGATTAGCATTGAACTTGTAGAGAGCACGGAAGCAGTCTTGGATATGAGGCTTTTGATACTTTGGTCAAGGTCTTGTGTAACTAAGAAATGATCTCAAAATCAGGATGAAGCCAAAAGTAAGATAGGCTATTAGTAGTGAAAATCTGTGACAAATGCTTATTTCTCCTTGCTTACCAGTAATGGGTTGATAAAACTTTTTAATTGGTTATCTGAAAAGTGAAAATTTTACTTCCTAGTTGACTTGATTTACATCTTTTTAATGCAAATAGTTAAATATGAATAGAACCTTTTTTAAATATGAATAGAACTTTTTCCCTCCTATGAATTGCCTCTTCCTGTTCCTTACTTGGTTTTTCTCTTAGATTGGTAGTCTAACAAATTTGTGAAAATTCTTAGTATGTATCAAAGATGACTTTTTTCCTGCTCAATAATAAAAGAATCGAAATGTCTATTGGCAGAGTATACAGTGACATAGGATCCTGGCTCCTTCTGCCATATACCTACCATTCACTGCTGGCTTTGAAAATGTGCTGGTTTCCATAGCTGATCTGAGCATTTCCTATAAAGGAAAGAAAGTCCGATGTTTTGTTTCTGTGGCGTCTAATTCTTTATTTTCTGGGAAGCAGATGTGAATTTCCTGTGCCCTTATTTCCTGTTTGGGGCCCTTATCAATATAATCACATGGCTTCTGGTATTTCCTTTCAATTGAAGAAACTGATCTTTGTGATCTGTATGTGGTATTGCAGATAAGTAGATTTAAAATACCCATGCACATAGCTTTGAGCACAACAAAAATGATGGTTATGAATGCAGGTACTCACTGACGCTGTCACACATTTTTAAGTCTTTTAGTATCTATGTATCGGAGTATATCACTATATATAATGAAAAAGTTCCAAAAAACTTAAGCCTGAATAAAATCCCAAGTATAGTCATTATGCAGTACACAGGTTGTTTTTAACTTTGCAAGTCAAGGTACAAAGGCTTTCTTTTTACACTTGTAACCGCCAAGTACTTTATAAATATAGAAACCCCATAGATTTTTAATAATACAGAATTCTGTCTATTTTGATAGTTGTTGTACCCATATAACCTAGTGCAATACTTTGATCTAGAAGTACAGATTTGGGAATTCAAACATAAGTCTTCCTTTTGGCTTCCATTTTTGGTTTGGTTCAGCTTACTTGACCTTGAATGAATCAGCCAACCTCATTGCCTTCGTTTTTTGAGCTTTGAAATTGGTCTTATACAATTTTGTTTTCAGTGTTGAAAGTTTCAAAGAAATAATAGGAAACATTCTTGATCCTTGAATTAAACAATGAGTTATAGTGTATTAATTTCTTCAAAGGAACTTCAAGCATGATGTAAATAAACACATTAATTTTTATGATATTCCTTTGAAGTACACTGAGGGTGTTGCTGTTGCTACACAAATGGCAGGGTACTTTGAAAACCTTAATGATTCATCCAGAGGGATTGAACTAAATTCCTGGGACACTCTCCACTCTGACAGTGGAGAACAGTGGGTTCCTTTCCCGTATCTTTATGCAGTGATGATGCTGGATGACCAGCTTGTAAAGATCACTTTAGTGCTCTCAGCCCTACTGAGTATATCATTGGAAACACTTGTGAAATTCATCTGTATGTGATTTGAATTGGGAGGGGCTATCTAGATTCTTTCAGAGTCTGAATTGTACATGGTTTTTTGATCACCTCCTACCTGTAGCAATATATAGTTAAGAGTAATTTAGATCTAAAGATGCTCAAAATTTCTGAGGCAGGAGAAAAATTCTCTTTGGACTTCACCTCTTCATTAAGTCATGAGCTTTGACTCACCTGGCATAAGAGACAAAACCTACCCCAGGTCCCCTCCCCCTTAAGCCAGACCCAAGGTAGCCAGCAGTACTTTTTCCCCAGCCCTGGGCGGACAGACTTGAATAGCACCACTGACTCCAGTCTGCTGAACATCTGGGCTGGTGACCATTACCATTTGTTGTAGCACCTCCAACACGTGATATAAACCCATCCTTTCTTGGAAAAGAAACTTCACAGGGAAGCTTGTGTGGTTTCTGTTGCTTTGACAATCTTTCTGGCTCTTCTCCAAAACATGTTTTTAAATGGATAAAATAAAATTACAAGATTTCCAAAGAAATCAAATATGTTGAAATAGTTCTCAAATGGGGCGCCTGGGTGGTGCAGTCGGTTAAGCGTCCGACTTCAGCCAGGTCACGATCTCGCGGTCCGTGAGTTCGAGCCCCACGTCGGGCTCTGGGCTGATGGCTCAGAGCCTGGAGCCTGTTTCCGATTCTGTGTCTCCCTCTCTCTCTGCCTCTCCCCCATTCATGCTCTGTCTCTCTCTGTCCCAAAAATAAATAAACATTGAAAAAAAAGTTAAAAAAAAAAAAAAAAAGAAATAGTTCTCAAAATAGTAAAACAAAAAATTTTATATAATAATATGTAACATAGTCTAACAACTATAATTTTGAACAAGTATAAAAGCTTTTGTGAGAAATCTATATGATAGATTGTATTGCATACAATTAGAAATAATTGCAATATTATATGACTGTTTTAATGTAAAATAGAACATAATAGTAGAAGGCTTTAGTTAATAATTTCCTGTCTTCTGTGGACCACCGTTGAACAAACCCAGAGAGATTTGAAGACAATTCTTTGGTTCTAATGCTGCATCTTGAAAACCATACTGGTACTGGATAGTTTGAATTTTTTCCAGCCATAAGTTCTAGAGATACCTAAAATGAATGATTTATATACAGTAAATTAAAGTGTAAGATGGTACATTAATAATCTGTAGAAACATTATTCTGGGGCTGGAGAGGGAATTCTATTCCTCAGCTGCACATTTAGATGAGTATTTCCTGAAAAGAAGTTTATGCCTTAGAATAATAAAGTACAGCCATCAGAATGTCTGCTCCTACTTTGTAAGGGGATACAAAAGTAAATATAAAGTATTCTCTTGTTCCTTTTTTGGTAAGAGACTTACCTAGGTTTTGTTTGAATTCAGAAGAGGAGGCTTTTCAGTGTAATGAGAATGCTTCTTAGATATTCACCCAGTTTTTTCTCCCACTGTCTCTCTGGAATTGAGATTGTGCTGAAAATAAGCCAGAATGAAACACTTGAAGTTTTTTTTTTTTTTAATTTTTTTTTAACATTTATTTATTTTTGAGACAGAGAGAGACAGAGCATGAATGGGGGAGGGTCAGAGAGAGAGAGACACACACAGAATTTGAAACAGGCTCCAGGCTCTGAGCTGTCAGCACAGAGCCCGATGCGAGGCTTGAACTCACAGACCGCAAGATCATGACCTGAGCTGAAGTCGGACGCTTAACCGACTGAGCCACCCAGGCTCCCCACTTGAAGTTTTTATGTATTTATTTTTGAGAGAGAGATGGAGAGAGCAGGGGAGGGACAGAGAGAGGCTCCCAAGCAAGCTCCACCTGTCGGCACAGGGCCCAATGTGGGGCTTGATTTCACAAACTGTGATATCATGACCTGAGCCGAAACCAAGAGCTGGACACTTAACCGACTCAGCCACCTAGGTGCCCCTGAAGCTTAGCTATTTTGATTTCAGATAACTCCGTGACATGAAATTCTTTAAACTTTCTTCTATTCTAAAATAAAAGCCTGTTCTCCCACTGACCACTGCTGTTCCCCCCTTGCCAAAAGAAGTTTCCTGGAAAAGATTGTGCTGGTGATTTGAGAGTTATTTTTTCATTGGCACATATGACTATTTTCATTATACAGTATGACATAGATCAGAATGTTTACATGTTCCATTTTTTGTTTAGAGGCGGGTAGGGAGTAAGGGATGGAGGCACCAGGAGAGAATACTGCAAAATATGAGAACCAGAGTTCTGGCACACTTGTTTCTGCCCAAGAGAGGAGAAAGAATGTCTTTGGATCTAAGTCTTTGCAGTAAGACAGCAAATCCCATTGAAGTGACCAGACCTATAATGATCACTTGTATAACATTTTGTCTCTCTGTCTTACCCCTCCCCCCTTTTCTTATAAGGTAAATTCGAAGAAAAAGAAGATAGTGTGCCTAAGCTGGAACAGCTCAACAGCCTGGGTTGTATGACTAACATGAATCTAGTATTAACAAAGCAAAATTTGCTACATATGGAACTGTTATTATTAGAAACCTTTCAGTGGAACCTCTGCCTTCCAACAGCTGCCCATTTCATTGAGTATTATCTCTCTGAAGCAGTACACGAAACAGATCTTCATGATGGCTGGCCAATGATTTGCTTGGAAAAAACTAAACTCTACATGGCCAAGTATGCAGATTACTTCCTGGAAGTATCTTTGCAAGGTGAGTCATTGTGGACGCCAGTAAGTGACTTGTGAGCTTGTAACTTGTGTATTCTGTTGCTTAAGTTCATTTTTGATGTCTCCACAGATTATGCCTTTCTAAATTATGCACCTTCTTTAGTAGCTGCTGCGTGTGTGGCTTCTTCAAGGATTATACTTCGTCTTTCTCCAACGTGGCCTACAAGATTGCATCGTCTTACTGCTTACTCCTGGGATTTTTTAGTGCAGTGCATTGAACGGCTATTGATGTAAGCCTCCTTACCTCGTGTTTGTGATTTCTCAATACTTTTCTTCATGTACAAGGCCATAAAAAGAACTTCCTTTTTTTTAAATGTTTATTTTTGACAGAAAGACAGAGTGTGAGCGGGGGAGGGGCAGAGAGAGAGGGAGACACAGAATCCCAAGCTGGCTCCATGCTCTGAGCTGTCAGCACAGAGCCCAACGTGGGGCTCAAACCCACAAACCACAAGATCATGACCTGAGCCAAAATCAGACGTTTAACTGACTGAGCCCCCCAGGTGTCCCTCTGAAAAGAACTTCTTAAAAGCACAGAGCTTTTAGGATTTTGGCTCTGACAGTTACTAGCTGCCATGAGCAAGCCATTTTATGATTAGTACTTGGCAGAAAGCTGTACTTTAGCTGTTTTCCAGTGAGAGGCTGTCATTGCTGTCATGATTTGGGGTACATGATAAGGAAAGGAGCTGCTCTTACATGAGCTCACAACTCATCAGTCCAGGCAAATCTTGCCCTTTTGCCCACTTCCACATCTTGAAATTGTAGGGCCACCAGATGTCACCAAAGTGGCAGCCACGTTTAAGTGCTTATTGTGGAAATATTTCCCAAGCTGGAAATAGGCCTCAGAGCTACCAGCAGCCAATTCCCAAGGTTTGTGTCAAAGGAAGGAGCTTTTAGAAGGATAAGAGTAAAATCTCACTGTTGTTAAAATTATGGTTACAGTGACTGCTACCTGGGCAGTGGGGCAGTCCATGGAGTCAACTGTTGAAGAGTTGAAGTAACATTATAATTTTTTTTTTTTCAGTGTTTGTTTGTTTTTGAGAGAGAGACAGAGCATGAGCCAGGGAAGGGGCAGAGAGAGAGGGAGACACGGAATCCAAAGCAAGCTCCAGGCCCCGAGCTGCCAGTGCAGAGCCCAATGGGGGCTTAAACTCAACGACTGCAAAATCATGACCTGAGCCGAAGTCGGATGCTTAACCGACTGAGCCACTCAGGCGCCCCGAATTGGAAGTAGTATTATTGACATTTTTCTTTCTCTCTACGCAGCGCTCATGATAATGATGTGAAAGAGGCAAACAAACAGAGAGGACAGGCAGGATCCCAGCCAGCACAGCTGAGTGTGTTCCAGTCAGCTTCTCAGCCCTCGCGGCCAGTTCACTTTCAGCAGCCTCAGTATCTCCATCAGACGCATCAGACCTCACTGCAGTATCGCCATCCTGTAGCGGAACAACCAAGCTGTCAGCAGATTGTATCCACCACACACACCTCATCTTACACACTACAGACGTGTCCTGCTGGCTTCCAAACTAGTGTTCAGGGCCTTGGGCATGTGCAGACTGGTGTTGGGATGTCACTGGCAATACCAGTAGAAGTTAAGCCCTGTCTGAATGTTTCTTATAACCGGAGTTATCAGATAAATGAACATTACCCTTGCATTACTCCATGCTTTGAAAGGTGATTATGTGAAGGTAATACCTGACCCAGACTGTTTGTGACTTGAAGCTCTGGGGCAAGCTTTTTGTAAACTTCTCTTCAAAAGGAAAGGGATCCAGATTGCATCAGAACTCTTCAGATACCAGCATCTGCTAGGAAGACTGAAAATCCCTTTCAGTGCGCCACGAACACCTGGGAGGACCGAACAAACACCGCAAACACTTTAACAGTATGTATATCAAATCCTGTTAAAATACATCCCTATAATGACAAAAATTTTCAAGCCCTGGCTGATGGTCCAAATATTTCAAAAATATTCACTACAACAAAATTTGGACAGACTCCAAATCGCCATTTTGAGATTGGCCTGCGGTGGGCTCTGGGCCCAGTGTTGGCTTATATATCAGAGACTAATGTTTATCTGTGGACTTGCCAAACGGTCTTTTTATGAAGGAAAGTTACAGTATTAATTTTTGAAGAAGTCCTTTTTTTTTTTTATTCTGCAGTTTTGAGTTCCATTTTTGATCCATAAATGAATTTTTTACTAAGTTTAAACTCATGAATTGCTATTCTATACCAATCTGCAGTAAAAGAAAAAAAATTTTTTTTAGATGATTCTATATAACTTCCTATCACAATATAAGTATCTGGATTCATGTACTAAGATTAAGGATGGATTAGATCTCTTAAAATCATGGTCATAAGTTTTTCTTATTTTTTCCCCCTAAGTGATCAACCTCATATCTTTAGAATTAAAACACATTTAACTCAGGGAATTTGTACTACTTGGAAACACTTAACTGTAATGCAACATGTTTTGGGAATGTTATAGTATGAACTACCTTTATAACATAGGTTAAAATACTCTTGCTAGGATGTGTTTTCAAATGAGAACATAATTGTAGCTTAGAACGAATGAAGTGGTTCCTATCATTCATGATACATACAGAGGTTTTGCATTTCTCGGTGCAATCAATGATTTATACTCAGAATTGATGTTACTCTAGAGGTTTTTTCAAGGGAAGGCTTGGCTGTAAACTGTCAGTACTAGAATGAAGTCCTGTAGGTTTATTTTGAAATGGAATGTGGCCAGGGTAGTTCTCAGGTTGTGCTAGAGCAGCACTTTGTTACGTGGAAGACAAGTTTTATAAGCAGCCTTTCAATCCAGCCAGTCAGTGTAAGCAGGCAAAGGAACTGATGACTAAATTTCAGTAGCCACTTTCATTACATCAGCCCCAGAGCTGCCCTGGGACATTTCACTGTATTGGTCATGAGTGAAAACAGCAATAATAAGTCATTACAGCAAGGGCAATTTGGGGGAAAGAATTCAGAGGGAACAAAACGTAAAAAGAAAGAAAGCATTGTAATAACTGAAACTGTATACATTGTGCTCTTATCTGTGGGAGAACAGAGATTTGGTGGAGGGAAGCTTTCTGATTTAAAAATTAGTAAGGTGTGTCTTTTTGTTTTGTGTGTGTGTGTGTGTGTGTGCGCGCGTGCGTGCGTGTGTGTGTGTTTTTAAAGATAGCACTTGAATAGAAGGGAAATTGCATGGCAGGTATGTGACTGCCACAATATGCATTGAAGACAATATTATAAATGTGTTGTGGGTATGCAGCAGGAGTCTCAGTAATCAAGCCAATGGCTTTTGTTAGGAAAGGAAGGGACTCAACGCAGTAGTGGACTGATCCAGATGGCTCCAGTGGATAAATGTGGGTGGGTGGCTTCTGCCAGCATGAATTCTTAGAGAATGTCCTTTCCTTAAAAGAATGGTAACTTGTATAATAGAGTACATAGGGCATGACGTGAATTTATTAGTCTGGTAGATTAAAAACCACTCAGGTAAGAACACTCACTCATGGCAGTTTTGAAGCATGAAAATTGTTTTCTGAAAGTATCATCACTTTTCCTCTAGAAGGCTGCTAATTGGATTTTGGTAGTTCTTACCTCAAGAGAGCTTGAATTATTTGGGGGAAAGTGGGTTCAAAAGAGAATATATCTTTCACATTCAGAACCCAGCACCTGGAGTCCGATTTTCAGTATTTTAACTACCTCAATAATGCTATGAATGTAAGATACTGGGATAGAGATCCCAACTTGAAACAACAGCCGGTGCCTATGGTAATTTAATGTCTTGTCAAATGCTTTTATTGATTGGTTTAAATGTCATTCTTGTTATAGAAGAATATGCCTTTTTAAAAAACTTATAACACTTTCCCAGTTTATATTTAAAAAAACTAAACACTGGATTAATTTGGGGGGGGGGTAGAATAAAATAATTAATTGGTTACTATTGCTGCATACCCAGGATGGGGTGGGTGGGGTGATTGGAGAATCAGAACTATTTTTAAAACATTAGGTTTCAATATAAATACAACTCACAACTGCTAGCCTTGGGGGACGGGGGTGGGGGAGTTGTGTGGGTTTTGTTTTGTTTAATTTATTGGTTAGTCTTTAAAGTAGGTCTTTTTTCTTTCTTTTTTTTTTTTTTTTTTTTTTGAGATTACTGGACCATCATTAAATGTGTACTGTGAAGAGATTAATGATATGTATAAAGGGCTTTACCAAAGTCCACTAAATAAACACTACTCAAGTACAGACTGCAAACCAAAATGTATCTGTGTTGTGACATTAATTGCAAATAGCGAGTATGGTGCTAAATTCTACACCAATGGAATTAGATGAGTGCTATGCACTTAATTTTAAAATAAATCTAGTTTTCAGTAAAATGGCTTTAGTGTTTTGTTTTAAATATAAATTTGGTATATATTTTTAGTTTCAGTGAACCGTGTCATCGTATTAGTCAGACTTGGAATCCTAATTATATTTACTAAAAGCCATCCAGATGTAGAGTATAACCAAAGTGGTAGGAAACGTTTGTGTAGTAATTATGTATTCCATACTGAGCCTCAAAGCCCACAAAAGTATATCGCACACAGCTTTTGGACTTTTGAGCTTAAAATCAGTTAGTGTATTAACAATAGCAGCTTCTAATTTATTAAACAACACATGCTTCAGAAAATTTGAAATCTGATCTCAGAAAAGTAGGGACACAAAACAGTCAAGGGTGTGAGAGGGAGCAGGGTCAACAGTGAGTGATAGTGGTCTGTTCACCTAAATATATCTTTTGCCACTTAATTAAACTTAAAACTCAGGTAGAAATTGTTTTGAAGAGTAAAATTTTAACAGGTTTGTATGTGTGGATTAAGAATTTCCACTCCTAGGGGCTCCTGGGTGGCTCAGTCAGTTGAGCATCTGACTTCAAGTTGGGTCATGATCTCACGGTCTGTGAGTTCAAGCCCCGCGTTGGGCTCTGTGCTGACAGCTCGGAGCCTGGAGCCTGCTTCGGATTCTGTGTCTCCCTCTCTCTCTGCCCCTCCTCTGGTCGCACCCTGTCTCTCTCAAAAATAAACATTAAAAAAATGAGAGGAGTATATATTATTTATTTCCCCACTGCTGTTAAGAACAAAAGATTGTAAAAACCTAAATGTCCATCAATAGGGGACTTTGTTTTACTACTACAGTGACATGTAAGAAGAACAAAGTATTACTATAAGCTGATATGGTCAATCTCCACGATATATCAAAGCAAAAGTAATGCTACCATTATGCTAATACTTACAGAGTAAGTAAGAAATAAGTAAGGCTTTTTTGTCTATTGATGTTCGTGGTCATTTGTGGTTTTCTCATCGGTCAATATGGAAAACTTGGAAAATAAAAAATATAAAGCAAAATGGCATAATTTCTCTTGGCACTTTTCCTATATGTATACATATATATACATATATATTTACATAATTGGCATGTTGAATATGTAACTTTGTACTCCACAATATATCAACAACATTTTTCATGAAATTAAAATACATCCAAATTAAAGTATATATGTTAGAAGGGTTGTTAGTATTCAATTATATGAATACAATATATTTTAACCATTTTCCAATGTTTTGAAATGATTAATAAACTAATGAACATGTATTTTACCACTTTCCCAACAATGACCAGGGTGTGTGGGTTATAAGGCTTAAGAGTGTATCTCAGAGACCAAAGATCTAGATTGCTCTCCCAGGAATATTCTTTCTCTTGTATGAAAGCAACGAAGAATATAACAGAAAGAACCAAATATTTGCATAACCATTCACATGATTTCTGCAGTACCTTTTCCTCTAAAGCCCATCCACTAGGGATCAAGGAGTGTACTTATGACCAGAAAGCAACAGGTGTTAATGAGTAGAGGTACCCCAATATCCAAACTGTTTCAAGTACAATTCGTGTAAAAGGACATAATTACATTAATTGTATTACATTAATGTATTATACTTAATGTCTATATCAGTGTATGCATATATTATATTTTTAATGTTTACTTATTTTTGAGAGACAGAGCGTGAGCAGGGAAGGGGCAGAGAGAGAGACACAGAACTCAAAGCGAGCTCCAGGCTAGACGCCGGCAGCACAGAACCTGACGCGAGGCTTGAATTCACAAACTGAGATCATGACCTGAGCTGAAGTCAGATGCCTAAGTGACTGAGCCACCCAGGAGCCCCTCAATGTATGCATTTAGAGTTCACAGAGCTTCCTTAGTTTCACTTGAAAATTTTTAAGAAATGTAAAGGGAACTACTAGCTTCATGCTATAGATGATGAAAACGAAAGCCCAAAGATTTTGATTGTTCAAAGTCACAACAGATTAAAGCTCAGGTATGTCATCTCTTGTGCTTCTAGGAATTTTGACAATCTTCATATTGGCTACAATCTGAAAGGAAGGGGGAAAAAAGGATGAGATTTTTTATTTTCTGTATGTTGTTCAATTCCTCCTAGTTGTACAATGTTTAATGTTGAAACATGGAAAGTCACTGAATCCAATTTTTTTTTCTTTTTTAAATTTTATTTTTTTAATTTACATCCAAATTAGCATATAGTACAACGATTTCAGGAGTAGATTTCTTAGTGCCCCTTACCCATTTAGCGCATCCCCCCTCCCACAGCCCCTCCTGAACCCTCTGTTCTCCATATTTATGAG